GACTGAACAACCCCAGCTCCCTCAGCTGCTCCTCATAGGACAGTCTCTCCTGACTCTTTACGAGCTTCATTGTCCTGCTCTGTACCCACTCCAGCACCTCAATGCCCTTCCTGATTTGGAGGGCCCAGAACTGGACACTGTATTTAATGTGCAGCCTCACCAGTGCCATGTATGAGGCTATGATCACTGCCCTGGTCCTACTGGCCCCACAATTCCTAATACAGACCAGGATGCCAGTGGCATTCTTGGCCACCTGGGCACACACTGGCTCATGTTCAGCCAGCTGTCACCCAGCACCCCAAAGGACTTTTCTGCTGGGCAGCTTTCCAGTCACTCTGCTCCTGGTCTGTGATTGGAGCATGTTTTATTTTTGTCAGGTGGACCATTCTGATCCTGGAGCCTGATCAAAAGCTTCCCCCTCCCGGAAACTCAGTTGTTGCTTTCCTACATCTGACACTGCTGCAATTCTTGAGCCTGTTTGAGGGAGAACCCCCAGGCAGCCAAGAAGCACTTTTTCTGCTTCTGAAGTTTCTGTGATACTATTAAGCAGCACTTTGACTGGGGTAGAGAGGATAGATTCATCTTGAATGAGACAGAATTTGACAACAAAGTTGCAGAAAGTGTTAGTTCATTGGCTCAACTTAGCAGACATCACCAGTTTGTTTGTGAGACAGAAAAGCAAGTGCTGAAGGCAGCTGGGAAAGAGTGGGGGAGGAATCTGACCCTGCAATCTGGAAAGATCACTGCATACAAAGGCTTTCAGTCTGTACCAACTGACAATGATGCAAAAGAGACAACCTGGTTCTACCCACCAGTGCCAGCAGAAGTATGCTGACATCACATTTGGTATGCTTAAATCTGTGTTCTCATCAGGTACTTTTCAATCACACCTCAAGGGTAACTAAAACAATCAGAAAACTGATTCCATTTTATCAGGAAGGAAAAAAACACCAGTTATGAAAATTGCTGCTTAGGTGCAAAGATCCTTTTGATAGTACTTGAGCATGATTTTAATTGGAAAGTATATTTGAATGTAGAAGTTGTTCAGTAAATAGAGAATTAACAAATTATCACCATTGACACTCAGCAAGAAGGAATTTACTCAGCTTGATCTTCAGGTTAGATGGATAGTGTAAAATTGTCAATAAGAATATGAAGTACATGCTTAATTTGGAATCTGATCACATATGACAGACAGGAGACAAATATAGAACTTCAGCTGTCATTTCATAGTACAAACATATACAAAATTGTTATTTTAAAAATATTAATTAATAAGGCTATTTACTGAATCTCTGTTAACTTTTCTCCCTGAGAAAGTCTTTTTTCAAATTTTCAGAAACCACCACCTTAGTGTCTGTTTAATCTATTTAAATAAATAAATAGTGCATGCAGAATATTTTTGTACATGTGTGTAGATATACATATGAAAACAATAGAACATAATTTCCTACCATGCAACTATTTCTGAATGCTTTGCCTAATCTAAATAGGGTTAAGAAGCAATAACATGCAAATTTTCCATTCAAACCTTGAAGTGAAATAACTCACTTCAGACATTCAGTTTCATAGTATTTGGTGGTGGAGTTAATTATAGGTTTATATTTGAAATATTTCAACACTTGAAAATGCTAATTTTTTTGAAAATATAAAAAGGAAAACAAAACTAAACCAAGCAAAAGCCTTAAACCACACACCACTCACTTGAAAATACTTCTGTTTGTTTTCCATGTATGCAATAAACACATTGTTAACAGAGGGGACAAAAAGTCTTTGGATGACTTGGTGTTTACATTTTGCACAGAGAGGGAAACATTGTGAGAAACCATTAACTTAAATTGCGATGTCAGGGACACAAAAGATATTTTTGAGTTGGAAGAAGGTGTCAGTATAAAAGCACATAGGCAGAGCCAAGAGCTCTGGTTTGGAAATGCAGAGAAGCAGACCTTTAATGCTGCTCTTCCACATGTGCAACACAGGTAGTGGGAAATTTGCAGGAGACTTCTGCAATCTCCTGCACAGCTAACCCCAAAATTAATCTAATTGCTTTCTTTAGCACAAGTTATAGGTTTTATATGTAAAGAATACTTATATGTAACATATTGCAAAAAAAATATCTACTGGGAGAATTCTGAGCACCTGCCAATAACTTGTTTTATACATTTTTCGAGATACGTAGTATTTCATAGTGTAATTTATAGCTGCTAATTAGACATAAATCACTGCAATAGTATAGTTTAAAAAGTTCTGTCAATGAAATTTTGACAATTCCGTGTAAAGCAAAGCATATTTTCTAATATTATCTGGAATCCCTTCTTGCACTTTTGCCCGGAATTAGAATTATCCCTCTTCTGGATTAAAGATGCATTGGTGGATTAGTCTATCACTGATGACAACATAATATATCCTTCCCAGAGGCTTAAACTGGAAAGAGGTCTGTTAACTACAGACTGTATTAAAACAACAGGAAAGAAAAAGAAGAAAAAAAAGGACATTGGATATGACACCATGTTTTAACATTTAAATATCATCTTGTGGGAAGTCAAAGTTAGTGAAACATAACCTCAGGTTCAGTGCCATGGGTCAATCCTACTCTTTCTTACAGGCTGTATCACCTGTAAAACTAGTAAAGCATGGGACTGATTCCTGCAAGGATTAGCCATGCCTATTACTTCTAGCTTTATCCACCTGAGCAAGCTAAGGAATACCAGCCACACAGGCAATTTAAAAGAAAGATAAATTTGTTTTAATTTTCAACTTGATGGTCACATATGTACACACATTTTGAAAAATTGTACTTCTTTATTCAAATTTTTTTTGACAGTTAAAGAAGTATTAATTTTATATTTAAATTTAGCATTTCCAAAGCAACAAAGCAGATGAACTGTTTCTGAACTGCTTTCTATTTCTGAAACTTTGTTTCAGATGACATGAAGTTGATTCATCACTTTAACACTCTAAAGGAGATGTTATGTTATTCTGTGTTTTAAGAGACATGCCAGCAGTTTTCTATAGAATAGTATCTTCCCGCAAAGTTTTTCTAGGTGTAAAACTGCATACATAGTACATAATGCATCTTTCTGTGTAAATGTCCTGGAATAATTCACATGCCGATAATTGTACAATGACAACTTCTAGAATACACCTGTTTAATATTTAAGCCAGATTCTGGAAAGCTAACTAAAAAGAAATATTCCAATGACTCTAATAAATAGATAATGTGCTGTACTTTCTGGTGAACTTAAACACCTAATTACATTCTTTTTCAATTATATCCCAGGAAAAAGTAGATTAGTTGCTAGCATTAAATTTCAATGTAAGGCACAGGGGTCTGTTTTTGTTTAAGAAAAGGTCAGTCCTTCACTTCATGAAAGTCAGTAAAATCACTGGCTTAAAAAGGTAGCTCAATATGGGTGTAGAATCCAGCTAAGAAATAAGCTTTCTACCAGACTCGCCTGTTGGTGTCACTGAGAAGATGGGGATTAGACATTTTTCTGTTTTTTTTTTAATAAGAGACCTGGATGTCATCACTAATATTGCTTGCTAAATTGAATCTTTGAAGAGCAGTATAGAATATGTGAAGTGTTTGTGTGTACAGCTCACAGACTGTGTGCTCCATCCTTTGAAAGGAAACCATTGTGAAGGGGGAGGGTCCTGAGCACAAAGACGGGAAGAATTGCTTTTCTGGCAAATGGCAGCATCAGCAACAAAAGTCCAATAAGAGCCACATGCTTCAATACGCAGTAAATAATACCCATACACTTTGTAGAAATAAAAGGTTGGAGGATGGGGGGCAAAGGACTTTGAGTTCTGTAGTCAAAGGAATTTAAAGGTACATCTAAGTAGTCTTATGAGAGATTGGTTTGTAGTGAAGTATCAGTTACACACAACCCTGGATCATAATTATCTGTGTATCCTCAGACTAGCAGAGCAGTTTTAATGCTGTCCTGTGCTTCTCTGCCATTGATCTCTGTGACTGCATCATTTTCTTGATGTTTTAGAACTTGCTGATACAGTAATCACAGTTCAGCTGTCTTAATCAGACGGTAATTGAACCATAGAGAGAATGCCAATAATCAAGAAGATACCAAACCAATTAGATAGTAATGTTTTCAGTCAAGAAACAGCTAACAGCAGCTCAAATCTGAGTTTATTCTCCACTTTCGATGTCTAGATTTCTGAGAAAGGAATTAAAGGGAAGGCAGTCCATTTTGGCCCAAATCCGCTATCTCCCTGCTCCTTTCGTGATGCACGAGCCCCGTTAAAGAAGAAACAAAAGTCAAGAAACAGGCGGGTCCTCCCGCACGGCCGGAGGGGGAGCGCGCCAGCCGGGGAAGGCAGCGCCTGGCCGGGGGAGCTGCGCGGCGGGGCCGAGCGGGAGGAGCGGAGCGGAGCCCGGGCCGGGACCCGCCCAGCCCGGACCTGTCCCTGTCCGTGGTCCTGAAGCCGGGCCGCCGCCCCTGCCAGAGCCGCTGCACAGGGCCCTGGTCCCTTCCCGGCTGCCTGCCTCCGCCAACGCCCTGCAACAGCTGCTGCCACTGCTGAGCCCGATTTACAGAAATTCAGCTTTTGGGGAGATTTCGAGCCCCCTCAAGGCTGGGGGTACTTAACAAAATAAATTCCCCAAACCTCCTACCAAAGCCCTGCCCAGGCTTTGAGCGAGCCTTTCCCTGGTGGTCTCTCGGCTGCCCGGGGCGCGGGGGGAGCCCCAGTCCAGAGCGCAACTTTCTTGCAGGGAGCCGGGCTTCTGCCTGCTCGGAGACCCCGCGAAGGGGAGCGAAGACGGAGGGAACCTGGCGCCCTCCTCGTCTGCAAAGCTGCTGAGAAGCCAGGCAGGCGAGCGGGAGAGGCTGGGAGCTCCCTCGCCTCGCCTTGCTCATTGCCGGCTTCTGGTACCAGGGAAACCCCGGGGGCGGAGGGAAGAGGAAGCTCCCCCCGTACGCGCAATGCCCCCCGTGCATCCCCTTCTCCGGGAGTCCGGAGCCCCAGCCCGGACTCACGTGTGCCGTCAAACCGGGTGGCGATGGTGTCGAGGAAGGTGTTCTGGGGTGCCAGTAATCCCTTCATAACCGGCATTTTTCCAGCGCGGTGCGAGGTTCCCCATCAAAGTTTGTCTACGAGGGTGGCTCGAGAAGAAAGTGCAGAGGGCGCCCGGGGGAAGGAGGGAGGGAGGAGGCGGAGGGATAGGGAGGAGAAGGAGGATGGGGATGCCGCCGCGCCGCCTCCGGCGCCGGGAGCCCCCCGCTCGTCAGCCGCGGCCCCGCACAGCGCTCCCGCCGCGGGGAGCCGCGCACAGGTGCGGAGCCGCGCCCCGGCCGGCAGCGCCCGCTCCCCCTCCCCGCGCCCCTCCAAAGGCAAGGGGGAGGGGGGCGCCTGTGGAGAGCCGCCTTGAGGAAGGACGGGCGGCAGGAGAGCAGGAAGCTGGGGAAGAGCCACCTTTATCCACCTGTAGCCGAGCCGGGTGGGGCGGGGCAGCGCAGGGACCGGCGGCCCCGGGGGCTACGGAGCCTCCTCAGCCCCCGGCAGACCCAAACACGTTTCGGCTCTAGCATCTGAGAAGGGTCCCAAGCATCTCAGCTCACAGGGACCTTCTCATATGAGTAACAATATTGCAGGGTGAAGCACGGGCTTACTTTGCTGCAAGGAGAAGAAACACCCGTGGTAGAGAGCAAATGCCTCTGGAGGTGCCCACTGGAGAGTGAGACTGGGACATGGATAATTCTCCGCCAGCTGTGTGGCCCCAGACATTATTTGCATGGTTAGGCTATTTCATTTATTTAAGGAATAGGCATTTTTCTGTGATTGTTAGTACATCCTATAGCATTCTCTCAACATTCTTCCCTGAAAAATTCCCGAAATTTTATTTCTGCCAGCCAAAGGGAGAATGAATACATATCCTAGCCCAGAAGGTCTAAGGTGGAAATTCTAATAAATAAATATGTAACAATAGTAATAAAGAAGTGGCATTCCATATTCAGATGAGTAACCTGCTCAGACTTATACCATGGTTCTTTAAATACTGTCAGATAACTCCATAATACAGTCATTTCACTTACTGCAGCAGTAATGGCAAAACTTCCCCATGTTCTTTCAGGATTATAAATCCCTAGAGAAAAGAAGTGGGGGTACACACCCTAATCTACAAAGTCACTGTGCAGAGGAAGCCTTTTGAGTTCTTGCTATTTTACAGTACTGCTATTTGTTTAGGATTCTCTCTTTCTCCAGATGTTTAGAAGACTTTGATTCCCATTTTTTAGCATAAGCAGCAGAGGGAGGTTACAAAAGAGAAAAAAATGGTCTTTGTTTACAATAGATAATGAAACATAAACAACACCCCACCTTTCCCCCCCCCCCCCAAACCTCAGAAAATGCTGATACATAGGGTTTCTAGCACAATATAAAGTCTACCCAAGGTAACCTCACCTTGGCTCTGGAGAATGTAGCAGTATTTTGCTGAGATCATGAATCTGTCCAGTTGCCCTTGTACGAGAAGCCTTTCACAAACTAGTTGATATAGAGCTGCCAGATCAGTTTTCAGAAGGAGCACATGAACTGAGAGACTGCCTGTACAGTACTTCGGAAGTCTTCAAGGTCTCAAAGTACTATCAGTTTCTAGCTACCTGATAATCTTCAATTTTGTGTCAACCTTGTCCTTAAAGTATATAAGCAGAAGCCTTGTCCTTAAAATATACAAATTTTAATGCCAGCAATTTAAAATTTTCATTATTATTCTAATATCTTCTTGTTCAATATAAGCAGAGTCACAAAATTAATTTCTACTCTTAGTTTTCCATTTATCCTCTCTGGCTAGTTGGGTTTGATGGTACATGTACTCACTAGAGAAATAAAGAAAATCCTATTTCAATACCTGGAAAACCCTGAAAAGCATGATCAGGTTTTCACTTCTGCCAAAGTGCTCAGCAACAGAGGTTGTTAAGATAAATCCAAACCTTTGAAACCTTACAAAAGACTTGCCTAGCCTGTGGTGCTGTAATTGTGTTTCAGTTTGCATTTTTTTCCATGGCCTGCACAAACACCATTTAAGTAGGGATGCAGTGAAAGAGAAAGGAATGCATTCTTAGTCCTAGTACAAGCAGTCAGGAGAAGCAAACCCATATATACATTTAAACATGTAAGTGTATTTCTCAATTTTGGTCATCACAAAAGGGAAAAGAGACAATTTTCCAAGGGAGTCAAGTTGTTACCTGGTAAGTCTGCAAGCCCGTAAATGGCCACACTAAGTCTGAGCTGTAATTATGTTTTAATGGCTGTATGATGTAACAGCTTCAGTAAGTTTAGAGCTTTATTAAGAACTCATGGAAATTTCTTAATCATGAGACAAAAAATGTTTTAATAAAGCCTTAGGACTTAACTTGAACAAAGAATGACAAATAGTTGTGCAAACACACAGCTCAGAAAGAATGAGTAAGTGCCATAGTAGTTACATGGCATATTCCATGTTGATAGGGGTGAACACAAATTAGTTATTGAAATTCACCACTAGCCAGGGAGATGTGATAGCAATGGCAGTGAAAGCTTTAACAACAGGGAAGGATACCAAATGCTGCTGAAAACCTCTTCATCTCTGAGAATTTCAGGAAAGAGGAAGAAAGTTTGTTGTTCTTCACAAGTACCCACAATCATGCTATTGTTATAAATTGCTTATGGAAATGGCTACGTGCCTTAAACAACTAGCAATAAGCTCCTAAAAATTGTGTTTGTGCTCTATGTATCACAAAGCAACCACTCAAATGACTGAAGTAGAATAAAATATATTACAAAAATAATGTACATAAAAAGGCTCGAACTACAAAAGATGATAAATTGCAGTATCCTATTTTGCCCTTGTATTGAGCATATTCTAAAGACTTTTACTCATAAAAGTAAAATCCTCCTTAATCCAAACTGGTACTTCAGGGAGTTTACTTCCAAACACAGAAGCTTAAAGTTCCTCAAAGCAGACAAATTTAACAGGTGAAATTTCAGAGGGCAAAGAAGAAATAGTTAAGAAAAGCAGACAAGAGCTGAGTATATGTAAAAGGGAGGTAAAGGGAGCAGCTGAAAGTTTGCAGGCAAGTCCTAGAAAATTATTTTTCACCTTTAAATGAGAAGCAAACTAGGGACTCTGAATACTCACGGATATATATATATATATTAATATTTAAGGAAAATTAAACTAAAAACCCAGGTGATTTTGATCTTGTTTCAAGAATCTAGCTTTCAATTTTGCTGTATTAATTGATAATATCTGGAATATCTGGACATAGTGCCTAATATAATACTTATTTTTGCTGGCAAAGACAAGTAAGCAAGAGTTGGAATCTAACTTTGATTTTTTGTGTATAAATCTATATCCAATTTACATAAATAGCCCACTCCCCATATTCCTTTCTTTTTCACTGTGGAGCATTTTGCTGAATTCAAAAGCATAAATATATGTAAAAATATATGGATAAGAGTTACAGATAAACAGTACCAAAGCTCAGAAATTAAGTACTGATAGCACTGCTGCTACTCTTCAGGATGCCATTGGCATCCAGAGATTGCAAATTAAGTTTTCTCAGGGACTTAGAGTTTAGACCAGAAGGAACAGCTAAGAAAATAAGGTTTGCCAGTTCAAATTACTCAACAGTATATAAACAAAATCTTAGCCATATATTTCTCACTACTTATACACAGCTACTTGGGCACTCAACACAACACATTACATTGTGGGGCCTGGTATCATCTGTATTATTGCTTGTTACCCAGAAATGTGGGCACAGGCAGTTTTTCATAAAATACAAGCAAGGAGCAGCATATTGTAGCATTTTTGCTCATAACTTTTCTTCATTTGCAATTTAACCAACAGAACTTTTCCCAAATTTTGTTATCGATATTCCACAGTATGATGAATTACCTCATGAAGCAAGAAGTCAGGAGTTGCTTCCCTGGCATAACCATTTGACCTCAACTTACCTGCTACAATTATGCAAATGAAAGCAGATAGTGAAAATCAAATTAACATGGACTGCCTGCAGCTTACTTTTGTGCTTGAAGTTGCCACCCAATTATTTGTTTGTTAACCCTGGCATCCAGTGGGAAAAAAAAGGAATAATAAAAAAGCCTGAAAGCACTAGGAAATAGCAAAGAATGACAACCTGTTGTTATCTGCAATGAACAGGTTAAGTCAGTGTGAAGTAGTGTGTGTTAATATTATCCTGATAAATGATTATTGTGCTTCAAGAAATGCTGGGCCCTGCCTTTTGTTGTGCATAAGCCAACAAGAAAATTTTTCAAGAATAGAGATGCATAATTAACACTCTGACAAACAAGGGACAGTTTGGGTTGAAGATTAAATGCAAAGCCAGCACATGTGGCTCAGGAGGAGACTAAGCTCCTACAAACCAGAAGAAATCACAAACAAACAGAAGAATCCCTATCTGGTGGTACTTTGAATGAAGTTAAAGATTCAAACCTCACTTTTTTCCTCTGCTCCTGGCAGACACCCATTAAACATTTTGGCAAAAGCCTAATTTCTCTTTAATACTGGTGTTAAAGGATGCAAACCTAATGTTCAGAGACATGCCATTCACTAATATACTGAAAAAGCACTGTGGTAGATGCACAAGGTTCTGATTATACTGATATCACCATCATATTAGGCTGCACTTTATGCTTTTGTTTTCTTTTGACATATATAGGTAATCATGGATAAGGTTTAATTCCATTATGCATATTGCTCAACTAAGTAGATTAAAGATTTATGCAATATTGATTTGTATTTTGTATGGTTAGAAAGCTCTTCATACATTCACAGACCCAGGTTTCATGTGTCCATTGGATTTACAAGGAGAGAAGATGCTGTCTCTTTTTTACAAAGTAGAAAATGAATTACGATCTAAAGGTAGCTCTGTTGTCAAACAAAAAAAAAAATGGTTCAATGGTAAATAAACTAGCAGACCTCAAAATTAATAACATTATAAAATTTCTGTTTTCCACTTTCCTTTCTATAAAAGCAGAATCATAATTTCACCTCCAAAGATTGTGTGGATATTGTTAATGTTCACAAAACAAGAAAATTTCACAAAAACCTCTGATAGAGCTAGTAACAAATTAGCAGTTGTTATTGAAGAGATTGGATAGCATTCAGAAAGTCATTGAATCATATTTCAAAGAAGAAGGAATTAAGAAGACACTCAATTACTCTAACACTAATTGAGCACCATCATGTGGGGAAAAAAATCATTGTTTATTGGAAAAAAGTACTATATAAAGGAGAAATGTACTTCTATGCACAAAATTTGCATCCAAAGCTGAATAAACAATCTTTTTTGGGTGGAGTTTGATTTTCATTAGAAAACAAAACCAAAACCCCCAGCAAACTAAAAACTAAGCCCTCCAAAATAATACTATTATTATTA